GGCCGGCCCAAAAATTAGAAATTCTTAAAAAAAAAAAAAAAAAGGGGGCAGCAATCCATAGCCAACAGTTTTGAAAGCTATTGTTCTAGACCAGGGATCTGTAAACTTTTTGTTAAAGGGCCACATAATAAGTAATTCAGCCTTGCAGGCCATATAGTTTCTGTGTAACTATGTCACTGTACTAAAAAAGCAATGGCATGGTTTTTGTGCTACAGTGGAGTGGGCATGGCTGTGTTCCAATAAAACTTTATTTATAACAACAACCATCCAGCCTACTGGCTATAGTTTGTTGACCCCTATTCTAGACCACCAAGAAGCTTTTAGTAAAATGCGTGGGAGAGTATGTGGAAAAAATCGCTCAAGAAAAACTGTAATGGGGCTGGCCCGTGGCTCACTCGGGAGACTGTGGTGTTGATAACACCAAGGACCCGGGTTCAGATCCCAAATAAGGATGGCCGGTTCGCTCACTGGCTGAGCGTGGTGCTAACAACACCAACTCGAGGGTTAAGATCCCCTTACCGGTCATCTTTATAAAAAAAAAAAAAGAAAGAAAAAGAAAAACTGTAATGAAATGTGTAAAAATATAAACATAGTATCTTTTTTGTTGTTGTTTTTTGGGTTTTTTTGTTTTTTTTTTTTGGTGGCTGGCCAGTAAGATCCGAAACCTTGACCTTGGTGTTACAGCAACATGTTCTCCCAAGTTTGCTCACCGGCCAGCCCTAAACATGGGATCTTAAGTACCATATAAGAAAATGTTTAGAAAGTCTTGCTTTCTGAGGCAAGACAGGCTTATATAAACTACAGACTCCTGAGGTTAGAGCTCCCTGACTGGATCAGGTGAGCAAATGGTGGCCGTGGGAAAGGTATTAGAGTTATGGAGACATTAAAAGACTTTTAGTGAAACAATTATAGCTTTGAGAACACGTGAACAGAAAATTCAGGAAGAGCTGAACAAAAGTGGAAGGTTTCAGGGGTACAGCATGTTAGAATAGTTTAAAAGCAGAGAGGAAATAGGAAGACCACATGAAAACTGGAGCACAAGGAAATAGAAGTGAGAACTGATGAACATAGATGGGTATTTCAACTAATTTTGGCAAATGTCCAAAACCAAGAGACTAGCTGGTAAATAAGGACTTCTTAGTAAAAATCAGGAAGCTGTTGGCTAAACTGCTGAAATAAGTGGCAGCCAGGATAGAAGTTCTGACTGGAAGCCAAAAAGGGTAGACTTTGCTCCTGATTTAAAAAATTCCATGACGGGGCCGGCCCGGTGGCGCACTGGAGAGTGGCGGCACTCCCGCCGAGGGTTCGGATCCCATGTGGAGACCAGTTCCCGCTCACTGACTGAGCACGGGGCAGGCGCAACACGGAGGGTTGCAATCCCGTTGCCGGTCAGTAAAAAAATACAAAAAGGAAAAAAAAAAGAAAAAGAAAAAGAAAAATTCCATGACTTTCCTTCTAGACCAAAAGTGATTGTGTATTAAATAGCTCAGTCTTGGAATGGAAGTTCATAACGAAGATTCAAACTTTAAAGAAAAACCTTAATTACAAAAGTGGTAATGAGAGGATAGCTTGGGGGCCGGCCCCGCCGCGCACTCGGGAGAGTGCGGTGCTGGGAGCACAGCGATGCTCCCACCACGGGTTCGGATCCTATATAGGACTGGCTGGTGCGCTCACTGGCTGAGCGCGGTGCGGGCGACACCACACCAAGGGTTGTGATCCCCTTACCGGTCACGAAAAAAGACAAAAAAAAAAAAGGATAGCTTGGCACGCCTTAAAGAAGTGACCTCCAGGAATGCTCTAATTCATTACTGACTAAACATGAGATTGTAACTGGATGGTTTATACCATCCCTCACTTTATATTGTAATATTCTATAATAGAGCTATAGGGAACAGGGTGAAAGAAGGAGATGAAAAATGTGAACAAGTAAGCATCACTCCACAGTTTTGGGATTTTTTTTTTTAAAGATGACTGGTAAGGGGATCTTAACCCTTGACTTGGTGTTATCAGCACCATGCTCTTCCAAGTCAGTTAACCGGCCATCCCTATATAGGGATCCGAACCCATGGCCTTAGTGTTATCAGCACCACACTCTCCCAAGTGAGCCACGGGCTGGCCCCAGTTTTTGGATTTTTAAATGCTAGGACAGTGGCACCAGCAATGACATGAGAAAATAACTAGGAAGAAATTTTCGTTAGGAGCTGCCTTTTGCTGAGTGATATGTCCTACTCATCACGGTCTCCCTGAAAATAGATTTCACTGTTTATACTTATTAGTTTCTCCCCATAGCTAATAGAATTCAAGTTCAAGTTTTAGTTAATAAATATTTTTTAAATTATTTGAAAATGAGGTAAAATAACCATTACCTTAAGCGCTTCTTCATATTCTCCTAAAAGGACAAAAAAAGTACACTGTGATATTTCTGCACCAGCCCCAAAGATTCCATAAGTATTGCCAATTCTAAAAATCTAACGTACAACATAAGGACTACAGATAATAATAGTGTATCATATTCAGGATTTTTGCTAAGTGAGTAGATTATAGCTGTTCTTGCCATGGGGGTGGGTAAAGATGGGTAATTACATGAGATGATGGATATGTTAATTTGTTTCACTATGGTAACTATTTTACTGTATATATATATCTCATAACATCATGCTATATACCTTAAATATAAATAATTTTTTTTTTTAAGATGACCAGTAAGGGGATCTTAACCCTTGGCTTGGTGTTGTCAGCACCACACTCAGCCAGAGAGCCAACTGGCAATCCCTATATGGGATCCAAACCCATGGCCTTGGTGTTATCAGCACCGCACTGTCCCAAGTGAGCCACGCGCCGGCCCCAAAATTTATTTTTTTAAAAAGTACAGCTAATACTGACTTTTAAGAATTCTTAGCTTATAATTCTTATATATGAATAGCTACTACCTTTTTGTGACAAACTGTCTTCTCATCCCACTGCAAAAAGAAGCTACTGCAGATCTCTTCTCCCCCTTAAACCCCTTTCGTTGCAACTGAAGTCTTCCAGCTACAAAATCTGAACCAGCTCCCTCACACTAAGCGTTGTGAAGCTCAGGACTCAGGAGAGTTCATGTATAGTTTTGATACTATCATTTCGGGTGGTTAAAATAGACTTTTAGGAGCTAGCCTGGGAAACTAACCTTCAAATATAACATGATTCCTGTGGGAAAATGCACTCCAGGCTCTGAACAACCAACCATCTGATAAATAAACTTTGGAAATACCACTTGTTTATAAGTTGATATTAACATATATGACAAGAGAGAGACAAATGCAACACTAGGAGAACAAGAGACATATGAGGCTACTTCAAAAAGTTCACGTAAAAATAGAATTAAAAGATAACATGAATCTTTCTATGAACATTTTGAAGTACCTTCATATATATGTCAAACTGGGAGGCATATTATTTTCAGAATATCAGCATCTTAAATATAAGAGAACCTCTCATTAAAGTTGTCCTTAGGGTCCATTCAAAAGCACCATCCTATATACAAAAAACTGCTATGCAGTGCTTGCTTTGGCAGCACATATACTAAAATTGTAATGATAGAGATTAGCACGGCCCCTGCACAAGGATGACACGCAAATTCGTGAAGTGTTCCATATTTAAAACAAAAACAAAAACCTGCTATGCAATAAAAACCCCTTGGTAACCCATGGAGGACTGAGCGCAATGCCAATAATTTATAGTAGACTGAATTCTTTTTTTTTTTTTTTTTTTTTTAAAGATGACCGGTAAGGGGATCTCAACCCTTGGCTTGGTGTTGTCAGCACCACGCTCAGCCAGTGAGCGAACCGGCCATCCCTATATAGGATCCGAACCCGTGGCCTTGGTGTTATCAGCACCGCACTCTACCGAGTGAGCCACAGGCCGGCCCCTTATAGTAGACTAAATTGTACTTTTTTTTTTTTTTTTTTTTGCGGTTGGCCAGTAAGGGGATTTGAACCTTTGACCTTATTACCACCAAATTTTACTCTAAAGTAAATATTGCAACAAGGTTTGAATGGAAATGGAGGTGCCACAATGAACAAATTAAGGTTTTTAAATAAAGCTGAATAGATACTCTCAGGGACTTACCTTGACTATTGATGGATACCTGTAAAAGGAAAAAAGCAACAGTGAATTATAGGTGTCCCATCACAATTGGCCATTTAAGTTTAATAGTAAAAGACTGGTTAATGATAACAATGCATCGTAAAACCTTCAGAAGGAAAGGAGAATGTTTTGTGGACCATTTTTTTGTGTGTGGCAGTTTTAAGTTACTAGTTTTTAAAATCAGTACTTTTTAATGGAAACAACTTGACTAAAAATCTGTTACAGGGGCCGAGCCCGTGGCGCACTCGGGAGAGTGCGGCGCTGGGAGCGAAGCGACGATCCCGCCGCGGGTTCGGATCCTATATAGGAATGGCCGGTGAGCTCACTGGCTGAGCGCGGTGTGGGCAACACCACACCAAGGGTTGCGATCCCCTTACCGGTCCAAAAAAAAAAAAGACAAAAAAAAAAAAATCTGTTACAGAATTTTGAGAGCCATTAAAACAGAGTTTAATGAGAAAAAAAAAATTATAAGTGTCCCATCAATTTAGCATTTGTTACTAAACTAGCTTCATAGGATAGATATAAAATCTCAGGTCAAGGGTTCACTTTTTCTACTATCACTTGCTAGTCATGAATAATAATTAAGGAATTTCATTGCTTAACTACTATAACCTCCTTTATTTTAGATACATTTAGAAGCAGCACAATGTAGCGGTTAGGAGTCTCAGCTCTGTAGCCAGAGGGTGTGAACTGAACCCCTACTCCACTACTTCCAAGCTTTCATGCCTTTCGGCAAGTTACTTAACCTCTCTGTGCTTCACTTTCCTCACGGATAAAATAGAGATGATGGTAATAATGTACCTAATACACAGTATTTTTGTCAGTCTGACACATTGCAACCACTCAATAAAGGTTAGCTAATTTTTTTTTTTTTGTCTTTTTTGTGACTGGTAAGGGGATCACAACCCTTGGTTTGGTGTCGTCCGCACCATGCTCAGCCAGTGAGCACACCAGCCATCCCTGTATAGGATCCCAACCCGTGGCCTCGGCGCTAACATCACCGCACTCTCCTGAGTGAGCCATGGGGCCGGCCTAAACGTTAGCTATTTTAAATTAATTAATTAATTAAGCCTACAGAACCCAGGCAGAATCTCATCCAAGTACTAACCAAGCCTTACCCTGCCTAGCTTCTGAGATCAGACAATTTTAGGTGCATTTAGGGTAGTATGGCCGTAGACTATTATTTTTATTATTATAAACTAAATGGCAGCTTGTGATATATTTTAACTTAAGATCAGCATATAATTTTAACAGTTATCCGCCAGATATTCTTCTTCAATGTTGCTTCCCTACTTCTCAACTCCACTTAAGATGCCACAAGACTTCTGAGAACGTGCAATTATCAAATCCATTTAAACCACTGCACAAATGATATAGAAAACACTATTCTGAACTTTTCGAGCCCCACATCACCCTGAAGAAATAAGATTTCTATTCTGAATGCCTAGCAATGGATAGCATAATATACTTTACCTCTTCATTTTCCTCATCCAGGTATTTTATTTGAATAGTGTTCAAATCAAATGAGACTTTTACCTGCAAATGAAACACACACACTATATGACCAATACATGAAAAAGGCAGGTTGTAACCAATACCTAAAAGTCACAATGGAAAGACAGGCATATTTCACTACATAAAAATTAAACATTTTATACAGTAAAAAAAAAAAAATACCACAAAGTCAAAAGGCAAACAACAAACCGAGAAAAATATTTTTTGGCAGCTGGCCAGTATAGGGAACCAAACTCTTGACCTCGGTGTTACAAGGCTCTACCACAACCAACTGAGCTAACTAGGCAGCCTGGGAAAAATATCTGTAACCCACAATAGACAAAGGGTTAATATCTGCAACAAACACAGAGCATCAGCAAAACTGCTAATGATAAGATGAACAACCCAGGTAAAATAGGCAAAAATGTACAGAAAATTCATAGAAGAATAAATCAGAATGCCTAACAAATAATACAAAAAGATGTTCAACATCACTTGTAGTCCAAACAATGTAAAGTAAAGCAATGAGATGCCATCTCCTCAGAATAGCAAAAAAAATTTTTAAAGCTATAACATCCAGGGCCGGCCCGGTGGCGCACTGCTACAGTGCGCCGCTTGGGAAGCGTGGCGGCGCTCCCGCCGAGGGTTCGGATCCCACATACAGACCGGCCACTCACTGGCTGAGCGAGGTGCGGGAGCGGCGCCGAGGGTTGCGATCCCGTTGCCGGTCCCGTTGCCGGTCCCGGTCCGGTACGGGCGCGACACTGAGGGTTGCGATCCGTTGCCGGTCACGAAAAAAAGACAAAAAGGGAAGGAAAAAAAAAAAAAAGCTATAACATCCAATGTTGTCAAAAATTCAGGGCACTGCCATATACTTCTGTCAGTTGCAACAATTATTCTTTAAAGCATCTGGCAGTAACTATTAAAATTTAAAATTACATGCTTTGTGACCCACTAATCTCACTTTTGGATAGGACAGTTTACCCTATAGAACAGTGCATAACTTACATGTACAAAGAGATATCCCTAGAGTTTATTTTATAGTGGCAAAAAAAAAAAAAAACCCAAAACGGAAAACAACTTGTTGGGAATACAGAACAGTTTGATCAGGCTCCCTCGCCTCAGGTCTAATTGGGTGTGGTGCAGCACATTATTTGTAAACAAATTGTGTGGGTGGGTGGAGTTAGTGCACAGGCACGCCAACATATCTTTTTAGTTTTGTTGCTATTGTGTGTTCCACAGTTGTGTGGACCAGCGGCCAGTGGCCCTGAATTGCTGGCTGCAGAGAGCTCGTGTCTAAAAATAGAGCATGTTTACTTTGCTGGCAGCTGCTCAGTTTCTCTTTGGACTGCCTAGCTCCTAGATGTGTGTGTGCAGAAATAAAGACTATTCTTTCTTCAACCAAGGCTCCAAGGACCTTTTTTCTGGTTGCCTGCTGGTAGACCTGCATGTGAAGGGTTTGTGACCCAGTCTGGACAATGGACTTGAGGGGTCTGTGAGCTCCAGACCCAGCTCTAGCTGTACACGATCTTTCAATAAAGGATGGTTAACTAAATTATTGTACAATACTAATAATGCTGTGGACTACAGCTTTAAAAAGAATGGGCTTTGGGCCAGCCTGGTGGCGCACTGCTACAGTGCGCCGCTTGGGAGTGCGGTGGCGCTCCCGCCGAGGGTTCGGATCCCACATACAGACCGGTTCCCGCTCACTGGCTGAGCGAGGTGCGGGCGCAGCGCCGAGGTTTGCGATCCCGTTGCCGGTCCCGGTCCGGCACGGGC